AACAAACCTCCAAAAGAGAAGCGGACATGGCAGACAGACACCCTAGCGATAATGGTCATGATGAGCCAAGCGCCCATACCATGGGTCCTGGCGGACAGCCCAGGTTTTTTCTACTGAAACCTCGCACGAGCACGAGCCGCCACGTACTCATACCACTTGATTACACTTGTACACTCGCTGAAAGCCTACATGGTCGGACCATTCTCGAGTTCCCAACTATACATGTATTTCCCCCAGATATGGATGAGTTACCCAAAGAAGAGTTTATGCTAGAGGAAGAGTATGCCGAGCTGGAAGGTGAGCAACAAAAGGAGTTTGACGAGTTGATGGGAGAACTTGACCCGGAGATTCTAAAGAGATTGAAGGAAGGCGAGGATGGCATGGCCAAGAATGGAATAGGTAATGCTGAGGAGGAAGTTGACAGTAAGAAGATCCTGGATGTGCTCAAGCAAGATCTTGGCGGACGCTTGTGATTGTAAATGATCCAATCATATCCATGCTTGGTTAAAACAAAGGTTACTTGTTACATCGTGGAAGCGTCTGGTCCTCGTCGCAATCATTAATCAAGGTCTTGCTTGAAGAAACAAGATGTTCTTTTTTTTTGTTGTTGCTCATCATGGTTGAGTTGACATGTCCACACCATCATGGATCAAGTCCATTATGCGCATTCGGCGCACGCCTACAATCTCCAAAAACAAACCACCCGCAGTCGACTAGGGTCTACCTTGCATCACGGCGTACTGTTCAGGATACCCCACTGCTGGATTACACTCGCGGCCCAGGCGTCCGCTTGATTGCTTTTTTCTCACTAGCCACGCACGACTCCCAACACGCGGACTTGCCTCCCGCCCCGTCGCGTCACATCGCAAGGGCGTCACACCCAACGGCCCCGACGTTTCGACTATGCTGTACCTTATTGCTTTTTTTGCTATGCAGTAGTACTCTTGCTCCATGCATAAGCATCTCTTTTCTTCCCTAATTCTGTCTTCGTGACGTGTGCTCATGCAAGTCCATCTCCAAGCGTCCAGCGCCCGTCTCCTTACCCTTTTCTTGTCCGTCTCTGGCGGGGAGGCGGACGTGCCGGTACCGACCCAAGGCCTCGTGGTTGCCGCAAGCGTACTACGCGCGCTCCACTTTTCGTTAAACCCCCCCAGACTCTGTCTCGGAGGCAATAAATCCCAACTGACTCTCCAAACCCTTAATCTATGCCAAACAATTGAGTACATGACTTACATGCACCTGTCTATAGGTTTGCCACCCTAGTCGCGGCGCGCGGAAGAGCAGACAAAAAAGTCATGACTATTGAACGTGCAAGGCGGATCAAGAGCAGGCCTGTGTGTGTGTGTGGGCGGGGGGTTGCAGACTGTCAGGAGGGAAGTCGCCAAAAACAAACAAGGTTTATCCCTTCGCGTATTGAGTTGGTGCTACAAATCCTACTCGGCCTTCTTCTCCGTCACAGGTATCCATACGCGTGCGCCCACTCTTTCGCCGTGGTCAGCCTCAATATCTTACATGCCGATGTAGAGTACCATCCGCTATCCCAGACGGGTCTATAACCGAGGCGCAAGCAAGGTCTTTGCCTGTCCTTGATCTTGCGAAACACGTTGCGCGCAAAACAATTCGATAGTTTGCTAAATTGCGAAGTCCCCTAACTTCGATCCCTTAGCAACATACCTGGTTCTGGTTTGTTTTGGCTTTCGCTCCGACCGGGCAAGGTCCCCTCTCATATTATCCTTTTCGGAGATAATACCACTATACACATATGAAGTTTCCAACGATAAGAGATCAAATGCGGAAAGTAAGTTCCGGATGCAAACAAACGGTTGTTTGTATTGTCTTCAGAATCATCAACTGCCAATATATTTGGCGATCTTAAGACGCCGCTCTTATACACTGGGTATGTCCACTTTTCTCTTTCTCTCTGCTCTCTTCATTCGGTCGACAGTAGAGACGCTTGCTACGTACGCAACCGCTTGGGGTTTGCGGCGCCATTCCCCTTTCCCCGGCTGCGACTGGCTAGAGCACGTACTGCGCCGCATCGCAAATCATGCCCTTGTTGTCTGGCGATCCAGACCTCTTCCCCCCAGGAAACGTGACAAGCAGACGTTACTTCGACTGTGTATCAAGTTGCGCCACAGCCCCCGCTCTTTTCATGGCGACAAGCAAGCCATCAGAACCACAGCCGTTTAATACTCCGACTCGCTATTGCAGCTGGGCGGTCACTCATCCGAGGTGATTGCTACAATGCTACTACAATTCATGCAAGGGGCCGTTAGCGACGTTTTTGTCTCTCTTTCCTCCGCATGAAACTGTATGTCACCCCGAAAAACCTCCCATCATATCAGCCCACATATATGACTCGACATGTTGTACGAGACTTTATATTTTGTTGTTGTTACCGTTTTCTTGTTTCCTAGGTTCATCCTTATACCAGTCTTACTGGGCATTAAGAACGATGAAAAAAGTCCTTGGCATTCGGAAATGCGCCGAGAAAGAATAATACTTAAAGGGAAGAAAAGAATGTTCGCCAAAAGCAGAACCATACATGCGACTTTTCTGAGGGTTCGTTTGAAAGTAATAGTTCACCAAAGGCCTTTGCTTCTGCTGTTTCCAACCACAAGAAGAAACGAGCGCAATCAACTTCACCTTACACACTGTTCGAAACTATCTACTTACCTAAAACACTAACCCCAAGACTCGTACTACATCCTCTCACAAACACATCACATCACCACACCTTACACTTCACCAACAATCACGCTTCCCTGTTACATCTTGTATGTAGTATATTACCCCAACCCAACCCAACCCAACCAAAAAAAATCAATAAGACAAGACAAATCCCACTTTTTCCATTTACCCTCCAAGCCGCACTATTCCTCCCACAACGTCAAACACCCCACATCCACCCCTCTCCAAATAACACAAACAAGGTAGCCAGGACCTCAACTGCGTTCGCTCGTGGCGAATACTAACGTTAAACACGTATAAGACAAAGAAACGCGCGGATATATCCCCCTCCGACAAATCGACCGGGGTAGGGTTTTTTGTTTCTGTGTATTTGAGTGGGCGGGGAGAGAGGGAGAGAAAGAATACAAGGACAGCCGGCGCGGAGAGTTGGACGGTGCTACTACTTTGAACCTTGTAAGTAAGCGGGCCGGGGGGGGGATGCGGGGTTGCAAGTATGTATGTGTGTGTGTGGAGAGGATGTGAGTAAGGTGGGCGGGTTGAGGGGGTTTGTGTAGGGAAGCGGGGGAGGGGGGAGGGGGTAAGGGTTGGGATATTGGGAAAGAGTAGCCGGGGAGGTAGGTAGGTATGTGTGGTGATGGCAGGGTAAGGATGGGAATGGGAGAGCGTTGGGATGGGAGGGGTGTACTTGGGGTGGGGATTTGTAAGGGTTGAAGTGCTAGGATGGGAAGAGAGAGAGAGAGAGGGGGGGGATGGATCACGTGTATAGTTTTCGTTTCTAGGGTGGTCTTGTGTTATACAGTCTTGAAGTCTTGCTAGTGTACCTGTTAGGCGGGCTCTTCGTCAAGGACAAGCAGGAAGAAAAGAGAAGAATATTGGACATGTGCGCATGGACATTTGAATGGTGCACAAGGAAATTGCAATTTTTTTATTGTAATCATTTCATCCCTCTTTCTCTCTATGTATATCTCTTACTTTATATTCAACCCTCGGGGGAAAACAAAGCTCCATCGCTCATACACCAGCATTCCCTATCCCAGCCCACACCTTTACTGCCCTACATCCAACAATCCCTTTCCTTTCAAATACTCCACAATCTCCACCACACTCTCCTCCACACTCTTCTTATCACTCCGAATATGAATCTCGGGTGCCTCAGGCGCCTCATATGGCGCACTTATACCCGTGAACTCTGGAATCTTGCCTTCCCTTGCCTTCTTGTACAGACCCTTGGGGTCGCGCGCCTCGGCGACTTCAAGCGGGATATCGACGTAGACTTCGATGAAGGCGAGGGGCGTTTCCGAAGCATCGGAGGTGGCGGCGTGCAGAGCGCGGGCTTGTTCGCGATCGGCTTTGTAAGGGGAGATGAAGGATGTTATGGCGATTGTAGAGGAGTCAGCGAAGAGCTTTGCTACCTGTTACATTCTGTTAGCCCCTACCCCATTTATTTATCACTCTAACGCTGGTGTTGGGGGGGGGGGATGGAAGATTGCGCAAACACGTACCTCAGCTATCCGCCTAATATTCTCATTGCGATCCTTCTCCGAGAACCCCAGATCTTTATTCAGCCCGAATCGCACATTGTCGCCATCGAGCCTGTACGCGGCGAAGCCCAGGTGCAGAAGGTGCTGCTCGAGCGCTGTGGCAATGGTGGATTTACCGGACGCAGAGAGGCCAGTGAACCAGATTGTGAAACCGGTTTGCTTGCGGAATTTGTTGCGTTCACTGCGCGAGAGGGAAGGGTGCCATGTGATGTTGCTGTGAGAACGTGGGTTAGCGATTTCGGCGCGTACTTTTTTGTATGGCGCGGGGTAGGTGTATGGTGGGGGAGGGGGAGCTCACGTCGCCATTGTCGATGATGATTGTCGCGACAAAGTCAAATTTTGGAACGATAAGGAAGAGGTAAGAGGTTTTTGGTTCGATTGTTCAAGTATCTTGGTGAGTGCGATCGGTGTTTTTAGAGTGTCAATCCGCGGGTACACGGCTGATCAGATTTTCCCAACGAATATCTTTGGTCCCAGTAGAAACATTGGATCCCTCTAGCGTGAATGACGTGCTGCTAGGCTTTCGACGCGTGGGGAAGTAATCCTCACAGCGGGTGAGTGACATTACGCATAGTAACGTTATTCATTCGTGTAATTCAAGAATCAATCTCAAGTTTTCGATTTAATTATGTAGTAGATTTGGAATACGATGAACAGCCTCCATGAGCTTATGCCTGGAGAAATTGAGGTTTCCCCCCTAAATGGCTATACCTAAATGATTAATCGCACTACGCGCAGAACGAAGTAGATTTGGAACAAAGTAAATATTTAGGGAATGCCACCTGCAAAACTGGCCGCCCTCGTCGGCCTTTGTCTCAGCTCAGCGCTCCTAGCATCGCCGTCCCATCCATACATGGACTGCACCTCACCCCTGCTTCCATTTTTCCTCAACGGCCCACCGCTATCCCCTCCTGCTATACCTCCAGAAGTCGCAAAGTCAAAAGGCTTCCTGCGCCTGACGAGCTGGTACCCTCGATCAAGTTCTACTTCAATAGCACACCTAATCTTTAATGCTGTGACTGCTGGCCACACACTTCTCTCGCCCTTTAATATCCAGTAATCCATCGCTTCCCTTGTCGGGTTCTCCAGCAACTTGAAGAAATCGCTTGGAGTGAATTCAGGTACCAGTGTGAGACTGGGGCCAGGAATGTTTTCATCGAGCAGAAATCGTCGGATTGACAGGGGAAGCAAGCCAAGCTCATCCAGCTGTTGCAACCTGTGCTGTACTTCCAGGACTACAAGACGAAGAATCGGCATACTAAGTCGCAATCTGCCGTCCTGTTTTGGGTTGGGATGGTGCAGGTCAGAACGCAAAAAAGGGGCAAGATAAGGCCGTGCCTGAGAGACGATGAAGTGATTCACGTTGAAGAGCTCGCCGATACGATGCAAAGGCGATTCGCGGTCGCGGTAGGACGCATGCGTGTAGGGACGGAACGTGGTGTTCGATGCTGGAGTCCAAGGAACAATGTTGCCTTCTTCGTCTTTGCACATCATCGTGACCGAATGGTAGAGTGCTGACGAGGCCGTCGCATTGGAGGCAAGTGCTGCGGACCAGATGAGCTGCATTTGTTAGTACTTGTTACGTCAAATAGGCATGGATAGACGTACAACGTTGGGAGCAGTCAGATAGTTGAGCAGGTTTGGCACACTGCCACCACTACTAGTCGTGACTGTGATGTTCAACACCCTCTTTGTCTTTGCGTATGCTTCCTCAAATGTCAGGTCGCCGACATTGGCCCTCAAGAGTTGTTCGAGTACGCCGACGTCGAGAAAATGGCCTTGATTCCACCATCTCTTAACACGGCGTATCATAGTCTGGAGCCGTGTGGTAACCTGAGCGCCATTCCTATATGGTCGGTTTGAGAAGGCTGTCAAATCAATGTTCCTCCCCGTCAGGAACTCGAGCAATTCATCTTCAGTATGCACACCCACCAATGCCGCTATGAGGGCCCCAGTAGCAGTTCCAGCAATGATTCGGGGAAGTAAACCGCGCAGATGCAATGCCTTGACAACACCCAGATGGCACAGGCCAAAGACTTGTCCGCCTTGAAGCACCAGAACCGATCTTCCAAAGGCCTGTCTCGTATCGTGGAGAACATCCAGCTTGGCCTGGTTCGTCAACCCGGTGTCCGAGTTTCTCGATGTAGGATATTGTGTAAGGTTTTCGATTGCGTAAGCAACCTGCGTGACATAGTCTTCGATCAAGAGTTTCGTCCCAGCGTAGGCACGGTTGTAGAGTCGCGAGGCGGTTATGTTTCCGAGGTTTCGCACGAGGCCGCTGCGAAGGAGGTTGATGACACCAAGAATATCGTCGTCTTCTTGGGCTTCGTAGAGAGCAGAGAGACGTTGGTTGATGAGGCGATGGTCGTAGTGTTTGCTCTTTGCGACCTGTCGCCTGTAAATGGCAAGGTCAGTCAAATGCACAAGCGTATATTCAATTGCGGGTCAGACAACGGACTCACCACAGGTCATAGTCGAGGACCTCATCAAGCTTGTACGCAGCAGCCTCCCATTCCTCAAACAACTTTGCATTATCAATGGCCTCAAGCAGCAAATCTCTCTGGCTCTTCTGTGTGAACCACGCGTAGAGTTTCTTCAACATGTCAGCATTACGCCCGAAAGCGCTTCAGACGACCGGACAGCTGAGGCGGCGGACAGGGTGGGGAAGACGTACCCTCTGCCAAAAGAAAGCTACGTCGAACAAGCACAGCAAGAAGCTCCATAGCGCCCCAGACGCGACGCTCAGCGCACCGCCCATGGCGTTTTGGGTTACCCTAGAAAGTGATCGGCTGACAAGGCCGCAATGTGACAAGGGCACATGTTCATTCGTTGCGTCTATTGGAACGAGTTGCAGGTCGAGTGAGAGTGGGAACGCTTGTGGGGGTCGATGCCGACTTTCACATGCAAACCACGTCCGACAGGTACCGGCAACGCAACCGTATCCATCCGGCAGGAGTCACGGGCCGACGCGTCACCAGCTAACGACGCCACACCTCTCAATCCGGAGCATTTGTTGATGCTTAACAACACCACCGTCTGCCAACATTGCAACACCAATACTGTAGCATTTTTGCTTTGAAAATATGCCGGGATCCTCACTTTGGCTATTGCCGCCATCGGACCACCCTCTCTCTAAAGTTTTGCCCGCATTGATCGACAAGACATCAAAGCAGTTTGGCTCCCCGCATCGGTTCCTCCCCCACGTCACTCTTACCTCTGAGATATCGCCATCAACACATGGCCCAGATGGGCAGGCATGGTTGGATTCTCTTGATTTAGACGTGGGTAAGAATGATGTGCGAGTCAACTTCAAACACTTGGATAGCGAGGACTACTTTTTTCGCAAATTGTACATTAAGTGTCAAGTCGACGACGGGTTGAAGAAGCTGGCCGAGCAGTGCAGACGACATGTCGAAGGGTTCTCGGACGAGAAGAAAGCGGAACAATGGGCGAATGAGAGCTACATGCCGCATTTGAGTCTGATGTAGTAAGTGTAAATGTAACAAGAAAAGTATGCATGTGCTGAGCATTGCAGCCACGACTGTCCGGCCGTAGACGCAAAGGGGTTGTCATCCGTGGACATGCTCGAGGTCGAGCTTGAAGGAAGCTCCCAGATGAGTGGCTGGGTAGGCGGGAGAGTGGTGTTGGTGCCAACTGACAAGCCCATAGACCAGTGGATACCCATAGCCGAAAGATTGGTCTGATGGTGCAGCAGTGTAATGTATCTGCAAAACTACGCACTATGAACTTAGAGAATGCGAATAAAAGCAATGCACGAGTCAAAAGATGAGTTCTGTAGGTGCTGTTCATTACTAAACTACTATTATTACAATGTCATAGGAAAGTCTCCTTGGTATATCGCTTTCAGGCATGTTGATCGCGTTGCCATAATGCTCTGCACTTATTTCATGAATCCAGCCTTTCCGTCACCGTCTGCATCAACCTCTGTGGGTTGGGTTAGTACCTGTTGTTTGATACAAGCGTAGGTGGCACTTACTAGGGTTGAGCTTGTCCATCAGGCTGGGCTTGTGTTTACCTGCGAAGTGTTGGCCTCTGGATTCTTGCAAAAGTCTTACTTGTTCCTCTTCGGCTTGGGTGTGAGGACGAGCTTTGGACACATCTTCGGTGAGCGCTCTAGGCAACCCACCGTCCTCGTTGGCACGATGCGCCAAATGTCCTCTGTCGCTCACACCATGCGCCATTCCAGCGGAATCTAGCGTACCTGTAGCGCCCACATGCTCTGGTTAAGAGTTAGCAAGATTATTGTGTAGGAGTTGAACATCAGACATACTGCTGCGGGAAGTGTCATCCAAGTCGTGAGAGCGGTTGCCCGATAGATCATGAGCATCGACCCTGCCGTCGTTGTTACGGTCCATGGGGTTGTGGGTGGTTCCATGGGTGGTTCCGTAGGCACCAGTGCCGACGGTGCTGCTGTTGTGCGAGCTGTGAGAGCCGCTCTTGGTCAGGTCGTGAGCATCAACCCTGCCATCGTTGTTGCGGTCCAAGGGGTTCTTGGTGTGAAGATCACCGTGACGGGCGGAAGAGTGGTCGTGAGTGGTCTTGTGGTGAAGGCCCTCAGCACCAGCGAGAGCGCTGACGCCACCAATGTTCTTGGGGACACCCTCGAACTCGTCGTAGCGCTCCTCACGGCCAGTCAGGGATCCACCCTTGGCCTTGAATTGCTCCATAGTCATGGCGGGCAGAGCAGTGGTCTCATGGTGAGTGGCCTTGTTGTGGTGTACCTCGTGAATAGGAACAGTGGTGTGGACAACGCTGGGTTGGATGGTCTCCTTCTGGACTACTGGCTGGATAGTCTCGTGGATGTGCTTGGATGTGTTAGGTCTGGAGGCAAGAAAAAAAGTGTTCTTGCTGTACTTACGTGGTGGACGTGCTCTCCGCCAACGGTGGGAGCGACGCTCTGGCTGTGGGTGGTCTCCTCGACACGCCTCTCGTCGGCAAAACGAGCCTGGTCTTGAATGAGGGTCCTCTTGGTGGCATCGGTGTCACGGTGGTCGAACTCGCGGTGCTGGACTGCTCCGAGCTTGGCAGTGTGTGTCTCGGGGAGGACCTCGCGGTCGTGGATGGGCTGAACAGTGCGGTGGTAGTGATCTTGGTGGACCTCCTTGTCAATGGCAGTGTTGATCTCCTCGTGTACATGGGGCTTGACAACCTCGTGGTGTACAGCGGGAGCAACTGCCTCGTGGACGGTGGTGTCGTGGTGGCCGGACCTGCCCATGAACTCGGTGATGGCTGCCTTTGCTTTGTCCATTTTGAAGTTGTAGTGGTGTGATTGTTTGTGGTAGAAGGGGATGAATTGGTGTGTAGAAGAGTGGATTGATTTGTTGGAATGTGGTGTGTTGTTGTAATGACGCTCCTTGAAGTTGACACCGGGTGTCTTTATACATGGAGGGAGGCAGGAGGGAGCACGCACAACGACGTAATTGACATCTCAGAGTCTGGTCAATCGGGAAGCAATAGCCCCCGCCATGTGTGCCATTGCCACAGGGTAAGCATGGCGCATCATAGGACAGCAATAGCGGGATGATGGCAGTGGTCTGGTTCTCCATCCATGTCTCCGGCGGCGCCAATTGGGCCATGCACGGCGGACGCTACCAGCAGCTGATGGCGTTCGCTCTCCGCGGCGTCTGGCACTAGGAGACGCTTGGGGCTGTTCGTTGTACGCCTACCGAAGAGCTACGCGGTACGATGTAGTCATACTGCGTATCTCTGCTGCATATAAACAGGAATTTGGTCTCAGGCTCAAGTTTGTTGTGTCGCGCTCAGTGTTGTCTCTGGTCGGGGTGGTGCGTGTGCGAGCAGATGAATGATTACTTTACATATCTGGATGGATGAATGCAGCAAAGCGTGCGATCTGATCGATCGACGCTAGGATGGCCCGCTACCCCTTGTCGGGCAGGGGATTCGTGCAGCATCCAAGCGACAACTCCCCCAAGACGTATTCAAGCATACGCGCCTCTGCCTCCGCTGGTTGCAAACTGCGTCATAATGCCATTTCTTTGTTGAGCTTCCCGCACAAGACGCCTTTTCCCTGTACGTGTACGCATGCGGGTGTCTCTGCGCCTGTTTCGGAAGTCCCGGGGGCATGGCTCGCACTGCTAAGGCCATGTGCATGGCTAAAGTGATCGCCTTCTGTGCCGTGCTGATCAACTGCAACTGGGGGAGAGAGCCGCCCACAACCACCCTTCCCGTCGTTGTCGTCATGCCGCCATGATCTCCGCCATGACATGCCCATTCTGCAATCATAGTCCTGTCTGTTGAGTCTGTGCAAGCATCGTGTATGGATCCATCTGTCCATCTACCACTACACCACCGCGGAAGCAGCCATCACTTGTAGAATAGAGACACGTACCTCTACAAAAGAGGATACCTACGTCATTTGTAAACGCCACTCTATGCTGTTTCCCGCCCTGTTCAATCGGCGAGCACAGAGTGAGCACCATCCAAGATGCAAATCTGGCTCGACATAGCAAATTGCAGCAAAAGGGGTGGGTGATTGACATTTCCCATTCGAGCCAGCAAAGCCTTTGCCTGTCGTATGCTTTCTGATCATCGTTGTTTCTGCTGTAGGAGTAGAGAGCGGCCTTTTAAGACGCTGCCGTGTCCTGAGTTGTGCAGCGTTTTAAACCTTAGGAAGGCGTTATAGATACGTCATTCAGCCACATTTCAGCCACTGCCACATGAAGAAATAGTCATACAAGGCAGGCCTAGAATCTGCCACCCCACTGTCACCAGCACATGTACAGTCCATCCAGCCAACCGCACATATCGCTTCCACTTCGCCTTGCAGTCAACATGAAGGAAAAGATCAAGGCCGTACTCCATAGAAGGAAGGGGTCAACACCAATCCAATCGCCCCGTGCCTCATATGAGCAGTCTGAAGGGGCTAGTCCACGTGCTGAACATCTTCCTAGCTCTCCCCGTCAAAGCCATCGACGGAGTTCTTCGACTTCTCAGAGTGCCTCTCCTCGAACAGAGCATGCACAACAACCCAAGACCATTCACACAAACGGCACAGCCACTCACTCAGCTACCCTGCCGCCTGAATCTGTGCATAATACCCAGCTTGACAAATCTGCCTCTGATGAAAACACACCCATTCCCTCTGCACTTGCACCCAGCAAACAGTCGATAGTGGCAGGTACCAATGCCGGTCACTCAGTACCGTCTCATAATGATCTATCAAAGCCCCTCCCACCAACACCAAGTATGCTCAATGCTGCGGAAATACTATCACATATAAGACAACTGACTTGTGTGCAGGTTCCACCAGCTACAACCAAGGCGATGCTCGAGACAAACTGGTCGGCAGGGCCGTCACTACCAATGGTAGTATTGTAGGGGGAGCGCAATCACCCGATCTAGAAGGCCTTGCAAGGTCACCGCAGAGCTTGGGGAGCGAACACCACGTACACCAGGATATGGCTGTCAAGCCTGCGGGGTTCGATTCTACGAGCGATACGCACGATGTGTATGGTGGTGATGAAGAGTGGCAGGTCAAGCAGAAATCGATGCTCAATGGCATCATTGATTTGAATGACACGGTTGAAACAGACAGAGAGACATCGTGGGCACCTGGTAAGTCAGGCTTGTCTTGCCGTTTGGCAAAGCTTCCAAACACAACATACGCAAGGTCACCTGACAACACTTATAACAGCGGTCACACATGAAGTTGTCAAACCACACGAGCATGAAATTGTCCAGCACAAAATCTATCGAGAGATTCACAACTATACCTACTACCACCGACTGCAGCCTGTAATGCAGACCGAGGTTCTTCCACCTCGTCACTTTATCCCCAATCCCGATGGAGAGGGCCTGATTGAGATTTCTGCTGATGAGCTGCCTTCTCGCACAGGCAAAAACAGGTGGTGGGATATTGTGCAAAAGGAACCGGTGCTTCCAGAAGCTCCATTCCAATGGCGGACCGAGCCGCAAATTATCGAGGGGAAGCCATACATGACGGATGAAGGCTTTGAGCGCAGAGAAACCACCATTATATACCCACCGACATTGGAAGACATGTCGGATTACGATGGAATAGTGCAGCCAGTTCATTTCGACCACAAGACCGGGAAGCGCTGGTTGGGAGAGCTGACAACCATCGATAAGCTACAGCGACAAGTAGATGGTGCAAACGAAGAGGATTTTATGACGATGAAGAACATCACGGCCGACTTGCCTGAAATCCCCAACAGCCCGTCGGTCAAGCGAAGGCCTGTTGCTAGAGACTCGCTGTAGCGGGCAGTGGGCAAATCAAAAGTAGATTGGAGCCGCGAGGTGTGGTACAGGTGGTTGTAATTCTCTCAATTGAGACGCTGTAATTTCTATTTGTATACTAGTGTTTAGTTTGGTACTCGTCCCAGGTGGATGCTGAAGACATGTGTATACTACAAACGGCTGGTTCCTTGTTTGGATTGATTGAGATGTGCAAGTTTTGCGCAGCGTCTGCAAGTGGAGAAAGTAAATGCATGGCAATTATCGCAGTTTAGTGCTTGCCGGAGCCATGGTCTTGGGTGGGCATGAACAGGAAATCTGCGCCAAGTCCGAGCAAAAACGTGGGGTGCGTTATTTGTACAAACATCTGCGCCGGTCAACCGGTGACGATCCCCATGCCAGTTTGTGGGGGCGCAAAACAGCTCTCAGTACGCCTCGAGGCTGACAAGCTGGCACCAGAACGCTATCTCAAGGCGCTTTTTTGTCTGATGACAGATCACTCACATGGTGCCATTCTCCGTATGTTTCGGTAAAGCAGTCAAGTATGCCGAGTGCAGGGTTCGGGAGTGGCCTCAACCCGGGTTAAGGCGTGAACGCAAAGCGCAGATAAGCCTTGGATGGACGACGGAGAAAAAGTAAGATGGGAAGCAAGCCTAGAATCTAGCTGCTCCCCCCAGTGGTGCCAAGTTAGCTTTGGCCATTGGGATTCGATTGCTCGCACAGCCATTGGAGAAGCTTTGCTAGCCAAGATGCACATGAGGGGCAGAGTAGTTGTGGTTCTACTTGGAGGCTTGCGCGAATACATCGGGGAGACCGATAGGAAACAACACACGGCAAGAGGGTGACATTGCACCATGCCGCCCAAGGGAAAAGCCGTGTCGAGCTCCTCCACCTGCGCGCCGGTGCTTCTCCGCATTTTCCGACTAGGTAAGTACAGTCGGCTCCATAACTCGACCCCTGCCCACAAAGAGCAGTTATCGGATCTTTCTCCACCCCACAGACAGGGCACACGACACCAGACACGGGATGCATGATCCCATCCACACCTGAGCCTTTGTGCGTCTGGCAGAGGGCTGTGTGAGTTGGGAAAAAAGCCTGCGGCAGCCTTACTGCAGCAGACACCACAGAGCTCAATGGCGATTCGTTCCTTTGCTGCCCCCAAACTGGGAGACGGACGTATACTGGTAAACGCCCAGGAGAGCCAAGAATTGCTAGTGCAATCCGTTGCCTTCACCACGGTGGAACACATGCAGGGTTGCCTGCTCACGCTAGGGTTGCTGAAAGATTTATTAGCACGGCACATGTACTCGTATCCTTCGCTCCCCGTTCATCGACTTTTGACCCTCGGCAGCCCAGCAGTTTGTCTACTAACCGACACCCACTCCGACTTAACGGTCCATGGCCTTTGTTGTGCAATTTTTCGCCCTACTCCTCAAAACTATACTCTGAGAGCCCCAGGTCAAGTCTTCGGCTTCCAGCAGACATGACTTCTACCGGCAGAGGCTTTGAGCCTGCCACTTCGTACGAGCCCAAAAAGCAGGGCTACCATGTCGATGAAGAGAACAACAACTACGATCCTCGCCCCAGTAGCGTGGGGTCAATGAGAGCCGTTAGCGACAACACCCATCGCAAGCTCAAAAGCAGACACATTCAGCTCATAGGCATCGGTGGAACCATTGGCACTGCCCTCTATGTCCAAATTGGTCGAGGCCTCATGAATGGAGGGCCTGCGTCCCTATTCATCGCATTTTCGTTGTGGTGAGTTCCGCGTAGGAGTCCTTACGCAGATGACCAATGGCACACTCAAAGCTACAAACGGATCCAGAGCTGACTTTGAACAGGTGTACCGTCATTTTGGCTGTGACGCTTAGTGAGACTCTCAATTCCTCAATCCCAAAAAAACCTGTGCCCATTGCGACAATGCCCAAGCGCTTTCCGACCCGCCCAGAGCCACTTGTCCCGTCGCTTGTACCATCGTGAAGAGCCCCCCAGCTAATGCGCCTCAATAGGCATTGCCGAAATGGTTACTTACCTCCCAATATCTTCACCATTCATTCGCTTCGCTGGACGCTACGTGGACGACGCCTTCGGCTTCGCAGCTGGATGGAATTTCTTCGTCTTCGAAGCAGCCCTGGTGCCCTTTGAAATTGTGGCTTGCAACGTCATTATCGGCTTTTGGAGCAACGCCGTGCCCACTGGTGCCATCATCGCAATCGTTCTTGTGCTCTATGCGTACGTAGACCCATGTACCACCCGATATTTGACACGGGACACCAAGGAGCCTTTTGTGTGAGATTGTGAACCGCAGACCATACACATTCCTCTATGTTTTTTGGTCAATGATGCCCAGGCTACACGCTAGGTCTCAAGGCACATCAAACAAGCCTATCCGCTCTAGAATACCCCATGAAGTTTGTTAGAGAACCAGGGCTAACCAAGCGCTAGTGTCATCAACATGATGGCTGTAAAATGGTATGGAGAAACCGAGTTCTACGCTGCAGTTGGAAAAGGTGAGTATTCTTCAAAGAAACACCCAAGAAAATTTGCTAATCTCAAAAGTCCTTCTCATCATCGGTCTCCTCATCTTCACCTTCATCTCCATGTTAGGCGGAAACCCGGAAAAAGACCGTTACGGCTTCCGCTACTGGAAGAACCCCGGAAGTTTCACAGAGCTCTATTACGATGGCGAACTAGGTAGATTCCTCGGTTTCCTCCAATGCCTAATCCAGGCCTCCTTCACCATCGCCGGACCCGACTACGTCTCCATGGCCGCCGGCGAAACCGAAAACCCGCGCAAAGTCATGCCGCGCGCCTACAACGCTGTCTTCTACCGCCTAACCACCTTCTTCGTGCTCGGCTCCCTCGCCGTAGGCATAAACGTGCCCTACAACGACCCGGAACTCATCAGCGCCTTCAAACTAGGTAAACCCGGTGCAGCAGCCTCGCCCTACGTCATTGCAATGAACAGACTCCGCATCGAAGGCCTCCCCCACGTCGTCAACGCCGGCGTCCTCGCCTCCGCCTTTTCCGCAGGAAATTCCTACGTCTACTGCGCTTCGCGCTCGCTCTTTGGTCTCGCGCTCGAGGGCAAAGCACCCAAGATCCTGACGAAGTGCACAAAGCAAGGTGTGCCCTTCTACTGTGTCTTCATCGTCTTGCTCATCTCGCTGCTTTCCTTCCTTCAGCTGAGCGAGAACTCGGCTGTCGTACTGAACTGGTTCGTTAGCTTGGTGACGGCGTCGCAGCTCATCAATTTCAGCGTCATGTGCTTTACATTCTTGCGCTTCTACAAGGCGTGTCATGTTCAGGGGCTCGATCGCGATACCTTACCCTACAAGGGCATTCTGCAACCGTATGCGGCGTGGTATGGGCTTGTGTGCACGTTTATCATGACGTTTGTGGGGGGTTACACCGTGTTTTTGAAGGGCATGTGGGATGTGCCTTCGTTCTTGTTTTCGTATCTGATGTAAGTTCTTTCTCCTCTCTAGTCTCATATATCTTTTTTGGGGTATTCAGGGGGGGAAATGGCTAATGCTAACTCATTTCAAAGGGTCTTTATTTTCCCTGTTCTTGTCATCGGATGGAAGATTTTTAAGAAGACGACGTGGGTTACGTCCGACAAGGCGGATCTGATTTCGGGACTGGCGGAGATTGAGGAGTATCATCGTGATTTCGTCGAGAAACCTGAGGCGAACCCATTCAATCGCTTTTTAGACAAGATTTTTGGGTAAAGCGAGGGGAGTACATGTGGAAAGGGATTGACTTTGGGGTGGGGGAGGGGTGGTTATGTTTTAGGGAAACCTCTTTGTTCACTCTTTTGGACAGATACTGTGCTGGATGTAGATAATGAGTTAGAATCTGGCTACACTGAATATGTAGATTTACAAGGGAAACGAGGGCAGAAATGTCTGAATAACGATTTACAACTAAACTCCTACCATCTCATCAATGCACTTTAACAACCTTTTCCCCGCCCTGGAAAAACTAGTCCTCTACCAGCAGAAGAGAATCCGCAAATCGCTACTAACACACCATCCTCCCAGTCCAACCCCTCAAAATAAAAATGTAGGTATATCATCCACATCCACATCCCCACCCATCGCCCTCTTCCTCTTCCCCTCCCCATCATTCCTCTCCCGCTCAGCCTTGCGCTTGGCCAACCTCTCCGCAACCTCCTTACTCCTCGTAGCACTGCCCTCATGTCTTACCTGCCGCGCCCCCATTTCCGCCGCTGAACTAGCTGACCGCGCATGCATACTACGCCTCACTGTTTCAGTGCAATCAAAAGAGCGAGAGGATCTGCTGGTAGCTGGTGTCCGGGACGTAATTGGGTGGATGGAAGAACGCTCCAAGGAGGTTTTTTGGGAGTGTTGCGATTTGCGCGGTGTCCAGTCGTCGAGCATGTCGAAGGGTTTTGCGAGGGTGGGTCTTGAGCGGGGTTTTGCGCGGGTTGGGGATGGGGCGGGTTTGGTGAAGGTAGCAGGAGGAGGAGGAGGCGGTGCAGGTTTAGTGAAGGTAGGGGGTGAGGGTTTGGTGGTGAGGCTGGGAGATAAGGCACTGATCGGTCTGCTTGGGGTGCTGCTTATCTTCGATGGGGCCGTTGTGGTGGCGGCTTTGAGGGGTGGCTTTGCTGGGGGCCGCAGGGTATCGAGATCTTCGCTATCGCTGTCTGATACTGCACGTGCTACTGGTTGCGGCTTTGCTGTGCTTCCTAGAGCTCTTTTGGAGGTGGCATATGATGGCGTAGTTGGATTGCGTGACGCATGGGTTGAAAGCGAAGTGGTTTGCTCTTGGGTCCCATCATCTTCTTGAGACGCAAAAACGTCTTGGAGAGCTCTCTTTTGCTTCTGCTCTTGGACTTTGGCTCTATCTTTCATAGTCCCAATATCTGACATCTTCGCGTTAGGAACGACCGGTCTTGGTACATCAGCACCTTTCTTCTTTTCCTCAATCATCTCCTTGAGTTTCTCGTATTCTGCAATGTGCAAGTGTCGAGTGAATAGCTTTGCAGTCTCGAGAAACTCGTCTTCAACCATCATCCATTCATCGTCGCGTAGGTCGAATTTGGAGATGGCGTCATGCATGTATTCAACACGCGGTTGCTCGAGATCCCCTGCCAGAGGTGGAGGTGATGACGAAACTTCACGTCCTTTTCTCCATGCATCTTTTGTTCTGGATTTGGTGTGTGGTGTTGATGGTTCTGGTGGCAGATTGGGGAGATCATCATCTGACTCGCTGGCTTGTCGATTTCCTTTGCTACTGCTGGCCGCTATCACATTTTCCAAGAAGTCATCGTCATCACCAGATATTTGCGATTCAAGATCTGCATGTGGGTTTGTTGCCTTTGCTCCTGTTATGTCTTTCTTCGCCCATGGAAGTCGACGCGGCATGGTGCTTGTATGGTAGACGGCGGATCAGCTGGATATCGGCAAAAGGTGGGAGTTGATCGATGTAGTTGAACGCGACATTGTGGGAGTCTCTACCCAAAAGCAGCCCCAGATCAATACCGTTGGGGAAGTACTTCACTCTGTGAGTGCTTCAAGCCTTTTGGACGCATGGGAGCGAAGGTGAATGGCTTGCTCCCGCCTGGCCACGTGCTATGACGCGTTTCCGGTTTCCGCTAGACCCACTCTCGCCTGTGCGCCCTTCCAATCTAGCTGCTGGCACTTCTTGTACTGTGCTCTGCGCCCTCAAATTAACACGTTGCACTTCCACCCAGTTCTACGACAATCGATGTTTGCCTAGACAGCGTGTACTCATGGAGGTTCTGCGTGCTCAGCTGCTGGCACCGAGTTGGTATAAGCTCGACGCTACAGCTTCACAGCACAACGCATAGCTGCGAGCGTGACTACCTCACAATTGCATTTACCCCCTTTCGTCTAAGAATCGTTGAATGATTCAAAGCTAGTTATCAGCGCCTAGGCCCCTGCCCAGCAGCATCTAGGCTGCGTTACCGTTGTTGACTCCAAACTACTGCCGTTTCCATCTGCCATGTCCATGTTCCGAAGGCCAGGCGACTCATCGTCCAGTTCGGAGTCGTCTGATGAAGAAAGCGAGTATGAAGAAGAGAGTCAGCTGAAACAGGACAGCGTCCTGTCAAGGATCAATACTCTAGATTCCGCTTCCTCAGGCCAGCCCATCCAGCCCCATCGACCTCCTCTAGATCCACGGCAAAGCTCAACGCAAAACGTTCGCGATCTTTTGTTACATTCGTTGTTGGAGGAGCGAACTATTCGCGAGGTTGCAGCCCAGCTGGGCAAAGACCCATCGGACCCTGAAGTCCAGCGATTGGGTAGAGCCTCCTACAAAGAAATTGCCCGTCAGATTTCCAACAACGTCGACGATGCTTACGCAAGTGATGAAATGCAAAACCATCGGACTACGGCAAACGAAGGAATTAATCGACTTACCCGAAGCAATCTAAACAAGCTCTCTGTAATCCCCGAAATAGCTTCACAAGCTCTGGTTGCACTACCTGGTAATGGGCTGCCCCAACATCTACCTCAGCAACCGTCCCTAGGGTTCGATGTCCTTTCTGGCATATCAGGTCCAGTTCAACTTCAACTTCGGGGATATCCTCATCTTCAGACTGATCGATATATTCGGGAGTTTTCCGAGTTGGAGATTGTTGGTAAAGGAGGATATGGCAAAGTTTTCAAAGCCAAACATAAACTTGATGGGTCATTCTATGCGGTCAAAAGGATTCCAGTGAGCCCTGCCAAGGTTGCAAGAATACAAGAGCATGGACCAGAAGAGTTGGAAAGCATGCTTGAAGAAGTTCGCTCGCTTGCGCGATTTGATCACAACAACATCATTCGATATCATAACGCGTGGCTCGAGTTTACCACATCACCCACTGAAACCACCAGCGTCCCAGATATCCCAATGCTTCGAGACGACCGTCTTTTAGAGGACCGAGCTGCCTTTCCATCCTTCTCTGGAGGAACCAACGACATTCATTCTAGACTGGATAATCTAAGCTTCGATGACTCTCATATTCGAACTGAGAACAGCAACAGCGCTGGTATTGTCTTTGAGTTTAGCGAGCCCAGAGAAGGAACAACTGAGCTCCAGAGTGAAGGTGCCAATATCTCTATCAAGGAAACTTTTACACGGACCAAACGCAAAACCCGACGTGGGAGCCAGGCGAGTCAGATGACAATAGCAACAATCTCATCAACCAAGTCTCGAATGAGCGCCGTAGAGGACGCAGATGAAGAGGAAGATGATGATATTGAAAACATTCCCAGATCGCACATGCCGTGTTCCCACGAAACAATCTCCGAAATGTCAGACAGCATGATTTCGAACAGCGACGTGCCCCACCACCTTATGCAAAAGCGAACTCTCGGACCAGTCCTCATGCTCAACGTGCAAATGAGCCTCTGCGAAACCAACCTAGCTTCGTTTCTCTCGTCCGAACAGTCTGGATCTATTGGACAGAAAACCGGACAACATTGCTTCCACTCCTGCGTATCCCTCGAGTTACTCAACAACATCGTGGCAGGGGTAGAATACTTACACGCTCAGGGCGTCGTTCACCGCGACCTCAAACCCGCAAACGTCTTCCTCTCGCTTTCCACTGCGCGTCACCCACCATACGGTTCCATCGACATGTCAAGCTGCAAATCGTGTCCCCAGCGCGATCATCTACATATGACGCCCCGCATCGGCGACTTTGGCCTCGTAGCCGCGTTGAGCGGGAGTTGCACGGTTCCGGACACATCTTCCAAGCCAGTAGGCACCGAATTCTATCGGCCATCGGCGAGCAGCGGTGTCAACGAGAAACTCGATGTCTTCGCGCTAGGTGTGGTGGCGTTTGAGATGCTGCACAAATTTAGCACGAGGATGGAACGTATAGCTGCTCTGACGGAGCTCCGCAGATGTCTTTTTCCAGGAGATTTTGTGCAGAATCACGGGGATGTCGGCGGGGATGTTCAGACTTTGATTAGTGGTATGATAAATGGGGATGAAGAACAGCGTTTGAGCTGTGATGAGGTGAAGGAAGAGATTATGAAGCTAGTGCAGAGATTAAAGGCTTAAACTTATTTTGTTTGATTTGTATGCACAGCGTTGGTTTCGCAGCATCGAGAAGCGTAGATACCCTAGTAGAATAGTAGTAGCATGGACGGGCATATTTTCAGCGTTGGAATTCGTGCATGGATGATGGAATCTCTGCTCTCACTATTTCTTGTAGCTATTCAATCGTACAAAATTTGTTTCATTTGTATTATCTACGTACCTCACTATATGCCTTATCTATGTTCATGTATACACATACCTAATTATCCAGAGACGCCCCATGTCGAGTTTCCAACTCGAACGCTAATTCTATCATTTACAGCCTGATTACTAGAAATGAAGTGAGCAGAAGAAGAAGAAGGTAAGCCAGGGACAACCGGTGTCCTTTCCAAAAGAAAAAAAATGCGCCCAAAGAAAATCGTGATAATAATAACCCAAACACCTCATGCATTTCCTCATATCCTTCTGTGCATCCAATCATGTACAACATCAAACAGCTGGCCCAGCTTAACCCCGTCGTCATGACCCTTGACATTAAGCACCTTGACAGCACCCCTCTTTTGGCCGCCATCGCGCAGTGTCAGCTCTGTCAACGGGGGCATGGAAACCAGCATATCCCTCCACGACCCGTGCGTATTGCCTGCGACACCCTCGCGCGTAATCCAATGGTTAAAGTCCATGATCAGAGGGTGAAACACGATTTCCTGACTTGTCCGGATGAGACCTATACAGCGTCTCGAGAGGGAGATCTCGTTGCGGACGCCTTTTGAAATACGAGTGCCAAGCAGCTGAGACCCTGACTCGACGCTTTGTGGCGTGACGTGGACTTCGAGTTCAAATGTCGTGGGGACGAGGTTGTAGATTTGCAGGCTGCGCGAGGGCTTGAGGTAGAGCATCTCGGCCAGCAATGGTGAGTCGCCTGGGACCAGGGCGCGCCATGATTTGGAGACGCGCTGGCACCGGACGAGCTCCCAGAACTCGAGGTAGAAGAAGATGTGCTGCAAGACTTCGGCGGGGAGGTCGCTGATGCCGCGCTTGTGGGGGTGCGTGTGGTGCGAGGAGGATGGGTGGAAGAGTTGGCGCATGCGATCGGCGTAGTTGCCCACGCTGCTCCTGCGAATATCTCGCGAAGGATCGGAATCACCGCGAGATCGCGTGAACATTGCTATGGGGTCTGAGGGCAGGCCAGTCATGGAGGGGTTGCGAATGGAATGCCCCGAGGTATTCGGCTTACGCCGGCCTGTAGTCGTATCTTTGAGCATATCGGAGAAGCGACTGAAGGCCGAAACGTGGGATTGGTGCTGTAGGTCCATCATGATTGCTTGGTTGGCGCTTGCTTTGGCCCGTCCAAGGCTTTCGGGTTCAAATGGTGCTTCGGGATGTTCTGTCTTTCAAAGGGCTAGTCTTACAAGGCAGCCAAGCCACGAAATGTCGTCACTGCTACCGCTCTCGGGATGCTGGTGGGAATGCGCCGGTTTGTGCGACGAGCTTTGTTTGCGTATAAGGAACGGGATGTTTCTGTGCCCACGGGTAGTCGACGCGTACCAAAGAGAGAGAGTTTACTGTATCGAAGTCGGTGTATATGGAAGCTTTCAGGAAACAATCATTGACGTGGATGCGGCTGACATGGCATTTACACTAGCCCAAAGGGGCCGATGCGCTGCGGACTGCATGGGGATGCCGGAAAAGCAAAGTCGGGTCACTTTGGAGACCAGCATGTTTGCTTGGTTTTCTGTGATGCATGACACAAAGTGAGGTTGGCGCTTTGTTCTTCTGCTACGCTACCAGGGTAACGTGCCACTTATTTCGCCGATGTTGTCCATTGAAAACACACCAACGTTCCGTCTTTTGCGTATGTTACAAGATTAATTCCGTCGGGGTGATATGCTATGATTCTACTGATTTACACGTGTCTGACTATAGCAGCTCAAGACTAAGGCCATAGCGAATGCCTTGGGCTGGTAACAAGGATGGCTTGGCTTGGTCGAGCAATTGTCGAGCGACGTAAAAAGCCCACCCAGCTTGAAACTAACTTGACGTCGGACTTTTGGAACATCTTGCTATGTGGATGCCTAGTCTGGTTTCCAGACGCATGGTCCTGTTGCTGGTATGAGGTCGTTGAGCGATCATCCCCACCTAAGGTGTTGGTGGGGCGTTGTTGTGCGCAGCGTTCACTCGACTCTCTTCAGCCAACTTCAATGGCGGCCAATGCGCCAATGACCTCTTCAGCAACCCCGCCATTCTCTACTACCATCTTGGTCACCTGCGCAATCAAACTCCTCTTCATGCCACCCCGGGGCGGTGTCCATACGCCTGATGTTGCCAATAGCTCGCGCTGGGTAAGGGCTTCGGCAGCCGACGTGGGAGCAGTGCCGCCAGTGGCAGTATTCATCGAGTTGGGCACACCTGGTGGTGTGAGGTGGGAAGGAGGGTCAATGGTGCGTATCGAGACGATGCGCGCACCCGTAGCGGAGTTTGTCGAATTTGTGCATGCGACGGCAAGGACAGCGTCTGCGACTGCTAGCTCCTCTGGGGCGGGATCGAAAATGATGTTTGCGCCAACAGCCATGGCTAGTATGATGACGGGTGGCTTCCCTAGTTGAGGCGCAGTCTTGTTTGTTCCTGCCTGCTTGGGGTACAGGGGCACAGCCGCGTCCCAGTCGTCGTCGAAGAGCGGGTCCTCGTCTTTTTCCGACTTGAGCGCGGGGAGGCGTGTGGTGAGAAGGGCAAGGTGGGAGGTCATGGAAAGCATGGCAAGCGGGTAGGAGAGGGGCGGCGAGAGCATAAGGATCTGTCATGTGTCAGAGGGAAAGCTGGTGGTGGGGTCATGGGGTGCGCATGGCTCCTTACGTCGATGTAGAGCTTCCAGTGAAAGCGCCTGTTGATGTAGAGCCGGTCCTTGAGCTCGCCGCTCGCAAGCAGGCTCTCAGAGAGCATCGAGGCGAGGAAGACAGGCAGGGCATCATCCTCTCGGAAGCCTGGTATCTCGACGGTGATGTCGACCCACGCATTCTGGCCCTTGGCCGCGTTCTCGTCGGCACCGTCGCCCATGTCCACATCTTCTGGCTCACCCAGGGTCGGCAGCTGGCTCGTCTTTTCCACTTCGGCCTTGACGCCGACAAGGGCTTCTGTGCCATCCTCGAGGGCAATGCGCGCACTTCCGTTTGCAGTGGGCAAGACGTCATACTCTGCGCGCATGGAGCGAAAGTCGCGGGGCCCTTTGGTGACATCGCGGCGGATGGGGGGCGTCTGTGTCAGGGCCCTGCGCAAAAAGAACAGCTCTACGGGGGAGAAGCTGACGAGGGCGTGCTGGGGCGCCATGAGGGGCGGGTGGTGGTGGGCGACGTGGAGTTTGCTGGTTGCTCTGCTGGGTGCGTATTTCTTTGCACTGGAATTGCGAATTGCTGCCACCCCCCGGTCCCACGGCTAGCGGCCCCGGTAGTTTGGCTGCAGCGTCACTCCCTGGGCGGTATGGCGTGCAAGCTACCTCGCGCGACAACACCAACGTGCAGTCCAAGTGCCGCCGACTGACCGCTGGTCTCGCGGAACACGGCCGGCTGCCCTTTGTGTGCTATCTATACCTTTGCCAGAGGCCCCAACAAAGGGCGCTCGCCATATATTCCAGTCGGGGCGAGGCCATGCCACTGCGATCCACGCCATACGCTACCCCGTCACGTACCGCGCGTCCCCCATGTCACCCCCGGCCTCCAAGCGGCATAGCGGTAATGGCATCACCACCATCGACAAGCTCGACTATCCCTCAAACCCCGCGCGTCGCCCTCTCCTAGCCCCCGACAGCGACACCGAGTCGCAACGACGCAGCCAGGGCACCAGCTACGCCGGAAGCTTCTTTGAGCAGGTTGCCGAGGGCATCTACGAACAAGACCGCGTCAAGATGCAGCGCGCCGTCCTCCGCTGGCTCAGCTTTATCTGGGCCATCGTCATCTGCCTCTGCGCCGGCAGCATCACCGCCTTCTCTCTCTATGGACATCTGTTCCAGTCCAAGTTGCATTATACCCAGGTTCAGGTTAACGCCGTCTCCATTGGGGCCGAGCTCGGCCTGTACCTCCTCGTCCCCATCTTTGGATACCTCTGCGATCGTCTGGGCCCTGGCGTCCCCGCCGGTCTCGCGGGTGTCCTCTTTGGCGCTGGCTACTTTCTGGCTGCATTTGCATACCGGAGCGGCCCGCCACCTGCAGCTGGCGGTCATGGATGGCCCCTTGGTGTCATGATCCTGGCCTTTGCCTTTGTCGGCATGGGTACGAGTTGCATGTATCTGTCTGCAGTCACGACATGTGCAAAGAACTTTGGCCGTGGTAACAGCAAGGGTGTGGCTCTGGCAGTACCCATTGCCGCATTTGGACTGAGCGGCATGTGGCAAAGCCAGGTTGGAAGCCGCTTGTTGTACGAGAGGAACGCCGATGGAACCAGAGGAGATGTCGACGTCTTCCGCTTCTTCCTTTTCTTGGGCATCCTGCTCCTTTGCGTTGGCACTGTCGGCTTCTTCGCTCTACGCATCGTCGACGAAGAAGAGATGATTGACGAGGCTGTTGACGAGCTCGAAAGATCGGGTCTTCTTCAGCGTGACGGCTTCTTCCACCAAGCTGCACAGCACCATGGCTACGGTACCATGGAGACGCAGGACTTATCCGACTCGACCTTTGACTTCCTGCAGTCTGAAGCCGAGCGTCTGAAAGCCAAGGCAGAAGAGGAAGCCCGCAAGAAGACGTGGCTCCTAAACGAAGAAACGCGTCTTTTCATCATGGATCCGACCATGTGGTGGCTGGCAGCCGGCTTCTTCCTCGTGACTGGACCCGGTGAGGCCTTCATCAACAACCTAGGCACCATTATTGAGACACTTACACCTGCCAACGTCGCGGCCAATACCTCACCAGCCACCCACGTTTCCATTGTCGCCATCACCTCAACCCTCGCTCGCTTGGCTACCGGCACACTCTCTGACATTCTCGCTCCTGTTGCACAATCGCACCAGCACCGCCGCAACCCAGAGTCAGTCGCAAACTCTGTGTCATCCCTCCCGCCTCCTGAACAATCCCGAAAGTTCACCGTGTCTCGCATCACTTTCCTTGTAACATTTGCTTTCCTCCTCTCACTCGGACAGTTCCTGCTTGCTACCGGCTGGGTCCAGAACCACGCCTCTCGCTTCGCCGTTGTTTCCGCCCTCATCGGCGCAGGCTATGGCGCCGTCTTTTCCCTCACTCCTATCGTCGTCTCTGTCGTCTGGGGCGTCGAGAACTTTGGCACAAATTGGGGCATCCTGGCCATGACACCTGCTGCAGGAGCGACCCTCTGGGGCGCCGTGTATGCTACCGTGTACCAGAAAGCCGCGAACAGTGCCGAGGCCGGTGTTGAAAAAGACCCAGAAGACGTCCTATGCTACGGCAAGGCGTGCTATGCACCCACCTTTTGGGCCATGACTATTAGTGTTTGGTTTGCTATCGGCCTTTTCCTTTGGGCATGGAGAGGCCCTGGTGGTTGGAAGCGAAAGGGCATTGCTGTATAACACCCTAGACACATCTCATTTCCCTTATCTATTTCCCTCTCTGTTTGTTGTCTTATGCATGGCGAAGGGAGTTTTTGTTTTTGTCTCTGTCATTTTGCTTCATTGGATTTCTCGCGTGATTTTATCTCGTCATGTGCATTTGTATCCATCGGGTCTGGTCTGGTCTTTTGGTTAACCCCTCTCATTTGATAATTTGCATAGAAATATGGAGCATGTTGAAGAATTGTGATTACACGGCGTGCATGATAATTTGAGTGAATATGTGTGATGTTGGCGACCTTGCGAGATAAAGTAGGTTACATGGGGCAAGAGGGGGTTGAGAGGAGAGCGGGGGGGAAGATAACCACTCAAGCCTACCCTAAGTAAAGCGCCCCCCGCCCCCCGCAATTCTGCTTTCCCCGCTTCCAGTATCAGCTTATCGGGAGGACACTACTGTACCACCGTTTTTTCTCTTCCCTAGATGCACATCACATCCATCTAAAAAAGATATCTTCATAAAACTACTAATTTTGCAGCTCGCCACCTGTAACGGGTCTTCATCAGAAGGTACACCGTCATCCCCATCCACCTTCCTGTCTCCACCTCAGCAGGAGCCCAGTTCGAGTCTCGTGGTGTCCTTTTATTCACTCACTCGGGTAACCAGTGATGCTGGAGGGACCTAAGCAATGAATGCAACTTGACGAGGGAAGAAATTCTGCAGTCTGGTATTCACCATGGGACGGCGGCGCTGGAATACTCTTATTGGGGTTGGAATGTGGCTTGGCGGGCTGGTGTATCGACTGATATTTTTGTTTTTGTCTTTTTTTGGACACTCTACTCCTTCTCTCCTTCTCTCTCTCCCCCTACTATACTACTATACACTATTCATAAATACTCACAAATAAAACAAACTAGCTAATCAATCCAGCCGTATTCACCACTAGCTAACCTACTTAACCTGACGACAGAACATTATCATTCTACAAGTCACATCAATCATGACTACATTTTTGCATCATCACAAATCATAGGTGGAGCAAATATAAAGAAAGAGAGACAGAGACACATATAATGGAAGTTATTAAATGTTATATTCCTTTGGTTGAATAACCATATGCATGGGCATATACGCCATGCAAAGCAATACTGGCTTCGCCACAGCACTCTTTCACGCCGTGCACAGTTGTCAAACATCAACTCTTTGTCTAGCCATCATCATGAGCCTTTAGCAGTTCCCGATTTACACCCGCGACCCTAATATACAAAGCACGCGCTTAACCAGAGAACTCCTTAATGTCCGTCGTCTTGCCGGGAATCAGAGCCAAAGGTACAATACCCGACACGTGCATCTCAGGGCCGTAGACGTGCATGTTGAGGCCGAGCTCTTGGCCGACGCTCTTGATGTTCTTGAGACCTTCCTGGTAGTTGGGACCAGCACGACGGATCCAAATCTGAACCTTGTGCTCAATGAGTAGAGGAGCGACCTCCCTAAGAGCGCGAATGACACCCTTGAAGGTCGAAGCAACGTTGGTGAAGTTGGCAATACCACCACCAATGAAGAGGACCTTGCCCTCCTCGTGTTGAGGTGCCCTGAGCATAAGGTCAAGGACAGTGCGGGCGTAGTGGAAGGTCTGGGTCTCGGTGGGGGCACCAGAGTATTCACCGTAGTTGGCAAGCTCACTAGCAAAGCCAGCAGAGGCGATAGCGTCGGCGTAGACGACGGAGGCACCACCACCAGCAACTAGGGTCCAGACACGGCCAGTGGCGTTGAGAATGGTCAGCTTGAGAGAAGCACCAGTCTTTGCGTCCATCTCGGCAATGTATGCCTCCTCCTTGCTCATCTCACGACCGAAAGGAGCAGGGAACTCCATTGGGGGGCCGACATCGATAGTAGTCTTACCGTCCTTTGCAGGAGCAGCAGCTATTCCGAGCGCATTTGCGCTACGAGCAATAGCCCACTTGGCACCGCACTCGAACTCAGCAGTTTGGTCGAGCTTGGCGGCAAGATCAAGGAAGTGAACCTCAGCTGATGTCTTCTCCTCGTTAGGGATGACGACCAGAGGGTTAATCTCGAGGTAGCTGCAGCAGTGCATTAGTGTCAAGTAGTAGGCGCTGCAGACGGGTGGCTTACGTGAACTGGCAGTCGACGTAGACGGCGTATAATCTTGAGATGAAGTCAACGAGGACGTTGTGTACACCCTGGGGAACCTTCTTCAGGAGAGTGGCAGCAATCTCCTCATTTGAAGGGTACTCCTTGAGGTCGACGGGAATGAGAAGCTTCTCCGCCTTCTCGTCGACATCACCAACGTCGACACCGCCTTCGTGGGTGAATAGGATCCAGTCGCCCTATTAAGTGCAGATGTTAGCGGCTAGATCGGGCTAAGATTGACAGGATTGGCAAGATCGTGCAGTGGCCCACACAAATGCAGATGGAAAGAGCCGCAACACCAAGGGCCTGGAATAACAAAACCCGGTACAGGGACGTAATACGCTGGAAGCGCCTAGAGAATTGACATGTGAAAGTGGACGTGCGCGTCGCAAAGGAGTAGGTGCTTTGCAGAAGTGGGTCGGTGAGTGTTCCCTTCGTCCGGCCCGCCTTCAAACAAAACCAGGCGGTACGCCCGTGTGCTTGAGCCAGCCCTCCCGCTCACTCTCGCGCAGATTACGCTCAGCACACCCAAACATGTCCTTTCCACACCTGCCACTGTGCCAGGCGGCGTTTTTGCACAAACCGACTTGAAACGACCCGAAGCAAAGAAATGAAGAAAAGAGATGAAGTAAAAGAAAAAGAAGAAGAAAAACAAGAAACACGGTGAACGTACCTCTCGGACAGAGTTGATGTTGATGTAGTACTCGGTGTCCTGGGGATGGGGGACAAATGGCTCGACCAAGAACTGTCTCAGGACGCCATCGACAGTCTCGACACGCTGTTCCTTTCCTGCCCTCGCCTCGATCCACTCACGCGCCTCGGGCCAGGTCTTGTTCAGGGCCAGCAGACCGCTCTTGCCTCGCCTCTTGATGAGCTGATCTGGCTTTGCAACAAACTTGGAGCCGGGGGTCAGCAGCCATGGGTATGTAGCCTCTGCCTGGTCGAGGACGCCCTTGACATCCTCGTCGGCGGGGAAGTACAGCGACGCAAGCTTGGGGGGAGGGTTGTGTGTGGCCTGGGCAGGCAGAGGAGTGGGCTTGATGACTGGGGCGCGGGTGAGGTGGTAGTTGAGGATGGCCTTGCCGTCGGCCTCGAGGATAGACTTGGCTGACATTGTGAAGCTGGGTCAGACTGCACTGGGGGTGGTGAGTATGGGTAGGACAGAAAAGAGGAGGAGCAGGAGCAGGTTGCGGGCGAGGCAAGGGACTGCAAGGAGATATGGCAAGGAAGGAGGAGCAAGAGAGGTGCAGAGCCAATGCCGGCAGCAATATCGGGGAGAGAAATGGGGCGTTGGGCAATGTCCGACGACAGAGACGACTTCGGACAACGATGGTGAGGGGGCCGGGACGACAAGATGCAAACTGGCAGGGCGGGGCTTTGGGCACTCACCTATATTTGTTGGGGGGTGGTTGGACACAGGGGGGAGCAGGAGCAGAAAGAATCAGAAAGAATTGCTGGCAAAAAGGGCAATGGTCAGACGGCGGGCAGACGAAGCGTGCGAGGCGGTCCGGTGTTTTTTCCTTGCGTGTTGAGCTTGGGAGGGTGCAGGCAAATGCAGGGCTAGGCAATTCGGCGGGATGCTGGCCTATCATGGCCGACCCACCCCACCATGGCAGCAGGCACGGCGGAGGGCGTCTGTGCCCCTCGACGAGATGGTAACCACCCGAAAGCAGCGCAATCCCGACGGCACACGCGCGGACTTTGCCCACCAGGCGGACAGGCAGACAGGCGGCCAGGCGGACAGGCGGACTTTTCCCCTTGGAGGCGGACTCTGGCAATGGGCGCCGGAGACAAAGGCTGATGCAAATGGTTATCCCGACTCCGAGGGGCGGCGTTGGCATCGAGCAACACATTCGGGTCCCCGTTCACCGCTCGGGTCTTGGGCCTAGCGCCGCAGCGATTTAGTTTGTGCAGCTCAATCTCCAGCTCAACACCCCCAGCAGACCAACAGAGTAGGCGCCCACCCTTTTGGCCACAACCGTTGTTCTCTCCTCGCAACCTTCTCCTAAATTGTCCAAGCATCTGCCGCACTGCTCCTCGTCCGGCATTGCACCCATAAGGTCAGTTCCCCTCTTGATCCCCTCCGCTCCGCTTCGTATCCCCTCGTGCCTGTCTGGCCCCTACACCTTGCCCGCTGCATTTTTTCCCGCTGAGCGACCTCACTCCTGCCATCCCCTCCGCCCAGCCATTGCCGCGCCTACCTGCTCACGGCTGCACTTCATACATACAAGAGCCTGGGCCCGACTGACCCTCTGCCCTCGATAGAAATTCCCCGAAGTCTCCCTTCGACAAGTGACGCTCCCATACACACGGCCACCATGTCCTCCTCAGCGCCCGCCCAGGCGGCCAACGATAACATCCGCCGCTTTGCTGCCCCCTCGAGGCCCTTGAGCCCTCCGGCCGCCCATACCCTCTTCCACCCGAGGACACGATGCTTCGTCTAGTAAGAAAACACACCCCGCCCTGTCCCAATGCACCAGAGCACGTCTCTAACATGCTGGAAACAGTGGACTGCAGCCCCGTGCCGTCCAGGGCATGCTCGACTTCGACTTCATCTGCAAGCGCAAGCAGCCCTCGGTCGCCGGTATCATCTACACATTCGGCGGCCAGTTCGTCAGCAAAATGTGCGTGCCAAGCAATTGTCCCACTTTGATGTGACTGCCCGTCTGACAATAGCCAGGTACTGGGGAACCAGCGAGACGCTGCTGCCCGTATACCAGACCGTCGAGAAGGCCGTTGGCAAGCACAGCGATGTTGACACCGTCGTCAACTTCGCCTCGTCGCGTTCCGTCTACCAATCCACCATGGAGTTGATGGAATTCCCCCAGATTAAGTGCATTGCCATCATCGCCGAGGGTGTTCCCGAGCGAGTAAGTACCCGGGATAATTATTGCATCTTGGAAAATGAAGAGAGAGAGAACTGACATTGGCTAGCGTGCCCGCGAGATCCTCCACGTCGCCCAGAAGAAGGGCATTACCATCATTGGCCCCGCCACTGTTGGTGGCATCAAGCCCGGTGCGTTCAAGATTGGAAACACCGGTGGTATGATGGACAACATTGTTGCCTCGAAGCTCTACCGCCCCGGCTCCGTCTCATACGTCTCCAAGTCTGGAGGTATGTCCAACGAGCTGAACAACATCATTGCCAACACTACCGACGGTGTGCTCGAGGGTGTTGCCATTGGTGGTGACAGGTACCCTGGTACCACTTTCATTGACCATGTTCTCCGATACCAGTCCGACCCCGACTGCAAGATCATTGTACTGCTCGGTGAGGTCGGTGGTGTTGAGGAATACCGCGTCATTGAGGCCATCAAGTCTGGCCAGGTCACCAAGCCCATTGTTGCCTGGGCCATTGGTACCGTTGCCGGTATGCTCAAGACCGAGGTGCAATTCGGTCACGCTGGTTCTTTCGCCAACTCTCAGCTCGAGACTGCGGCCACCAAGAACAAGACCATGAGGGAGGCTGGTATCTACGTGCCAGAGACCTTTGAGGACATGCCCAACACTCTTGCTCAGGTCTACCAGAAGCTGGTCAAGGACGGAACCATTGTTCCCAAGCCCGAGCCTGTTGTTCCCAAGATTCCAATTGACTACTCATGGGCACAGGAACTTGGTCTTATCCGAAAGCCTGCTGCTTTCATTTCCACCATTTCCGATGACCGTGGCCAGGAGCTGCTCTACGCTGGTATGCCCATCTCTGATGTCTTCAAGGAGGAGATTGGTATCGGTGGTGTCATGTCGCTACTCTGGTTCCGTCGCCGTCTACCCAACTACGCCAGCCGTTTCCTCGAGATGGTGCTGATGTTGACTGCCGATCACGGTCCCGCCGTCTCTGGTGCCATGAACACCATCATCACCACTCGTGCCGGCAAGGATCTCATCAGTGCCTTGGTTTCTGGTCTTTTGACCATTGGATCGCGCTTCGGTGGTGCGCTCGACGGTGCTGCCGAGGAGTTCAGCAAGGCCTTTGACAAGGGTCTCAGCCCCCGTGACTTTGTTGACACAATGAGGAAGGAGAACAAGCTGAGTAAGTGACTTTGGGAAAATGTGTGTGAGTGCAATAGCTAACGTTGCCTAGTCCCCGGTATTGGCCACAGGATCAAGTCCCGCAACAACCCCGATCTTCGTGTCGAGCTTGTCAAGGAGTACGTCAAGAAGAACTTCCCCAGCACCAAGCTGCTCGACTATGCTCTTGCCGTCGAGTCAGTCACAACGTCCAAGAAGGACAACCTGATTCTCAACGTTGACGGTTGCATTGCTGTCTGCTTTGTTGACCTTGTCCGCAACGGTGGTGCTTTCTCCAACGAGGAGGCTGAGGACTACCTGAAGATGGGTGTGCTCAACGGTCTCTTCGTTCTCGGCCGAAGTATCGGTCTGATTGCTCACTTCCTCGACCAGAAGAGGCTGCGCACTGGCCTGTACAGGCATCCTTGGGATGATATCACCTACCTGCTGCCCTCGCTGCAGTCTGGTGGCGCACCGGGTGCCGAGGGCCGTGTTGAGGTTAGCTTGTAGAGTAGTGCTTGACGAAAAGCCAAGGGTATGTCCGGTTCTAGTCGCTTGATAGTAGACCGAAATAGGCGTTTTGAGCGCGGTGGACGAAGGTCTTGAAGTGCATCGCAAGGCCGCTGTAGCAATACCTGCCAATTGTTGGCGGAGATATCTTATTTAATATCAAACAAACAAGTAACTGAGTTTGCTATGCGAAAAGAGTTCTTTGAAGCCGGGTGGGTCGGCAGCCTGTGGCGAGCTTAGTGGGAGGCCTCAATTCAATGACAGGTCCAGCCTTGCCCAGCTGTGAGCTGGACTGTGTGAAAAATTAGGCTGAGATGGGCCGCTTTTACATTTAAACTCACCCAATTTCACGTCAGTAAAGCTTGTGGTGAGTACACCGCATGTACATGGATCCATAAAAGGCGTCCTGCGCAGGGTCAAATAGTCCATGGCCGGGCTGCATGCAGTGTACATTTGTGGTTACTGCCCGTCCACATGCGACAAATAGTAATTCCCATGTGTCGTGACTCGAATTGTACCTGAAGACATGGCGTGTTTCTTTTGACCGGTGGTCGGTGATGGTGCCAAGAAGCGTCCACTTACATGGAGAAGTAGCCACATACGGTATGGCGGCCATGGCCTTGTATAAGGACAGTCAATCACAGCTTAGGACCAGCAGACACTAGCCACTGCACTGCTACTCGGCCCCGGCCCACCATATTTGACAGCCCAGTTGGATCCTTCAAGACGAAACAGTCATACCATTTTCCATGATACTGACATGCAATCTGGCTGACATGGAAGCCCATAAACACCACGCCATGCATCGTCCTCGCTCGTGCAACCGTCGAGGTTGAGCTACGCACCGTTGAAGTTGTCAGTCTACGCATCGGTTTTTTGTTGACACAGAAAACACTACTACTGCAGGGCGGGACAATACGCCGCAATGCGCCCCACTCAGACATGCAGCGCGTAAATAGATGGGATTTGATTCTGCGCTACTTCTTCTTTAGGTCACTAGTCACCGCGGTAATTGGGGAGCTTCGAGCCTGTGGCTTGATTCTTCTGGCGGGTAGCCTAATTAGTTGCCGGTTTGCCTTGAAGGTGGATATGCAGCTAGTTGCCTGTGCCGCAATCATTAAGAATAAATAAAGATGCAATCCCAGTACCTATGCTCAGGCTTGTCCCTGGCGCTAGGTTATACAAATTCCAAAAGCTGTCACCATGCTCATGCGCATTTCTGTTATAGCTGTGGCTTCGGCCGGGCTTGTCGTGGCGCAAGCTTCTTCAGATGATAGTACTCACCACACCCTTGCCTCTTTCGCCTTTATTCGAACTGGAGAGCGGACGCCCATTCTACGAAATAATACCCAGGTCCTGACGGCGCTAGGCGCCCAACAAATGTACACGCTCGGAGAAAATTTCAGAACAAGATATATTGCTGGCGACTCACCAAACAAGCTTGGTGTAGAGCATGTTGCAGGGATGTCAGTCGATGTCATAGACAATGACCAAATAAGGGTTCAAACGTTGGAAAAATCATACCTCGTCTCTTCTGCACAAGCGTTTATGCAGGGTCTATATCCTCCGAACAGCAATTCCAACGGAACCGGACAAGTCACTAGCCGCCTTGCAGATGGCACCCAGGTTGATTACCCGCTCAACGGATACCAGTATGTTGGCATCCAAGCTGCTGCGCTGGAAGACCCAGATTCAAGATTCGTTTCTGGATCGCAAAACTGTCCTCTTGCGCAAGTAGCTGCATTGAAGTTTTTCGAAACAGAGAAGTTTAAGGAAACGGAGGCGGCGAATGCCGATTTGTTCAAGAAATTGAACATCGACTGGCTGGAGGGCACACTTCCTGAGGCATATTTGTAAGTTCACCCATCAAATGAGTTCGTATCTACTGTAGAGAGAAGCTGACAGTGTCGATAGTAATGCCCGCTCGGCTCTTGAGATATCCGACTACATACGCTACCAATACTCGCACAATTCTAGCGTCTACAAGGCCCTCTCAGCAAACGACTCTGACTATACAGGTGCTTATGACCGACTCGGCTCCCTTGCCGACGAAGTTGCCTGGCACCTCTACGGTAACGCATCCAACCTATCAACCGACGCAAACTACCAAGCCATCGGAGGCAAGACACTCGCTAGCTCCATCCTCAACTCTTTCCAACTTCAAATCGCCGACCGAGCCAGCCCAAGTAACTCGACCTCTCCATCCCCGCGCCTAACATTTTACTTTGGCGAAGAAGACGCAATGATAGGCCTCATCTCCCTCCTGAACCTCGACTCCAGATCCCCAAACTTCAAATCCATCCCTTCCTACGCCTCCTCCCTCATCTTCGAACTCTTCAGCACAACCACCGACCAAAACCCCAGCCCAGACACCCTCTTCGTCCGCTTCTCCTTCCACAACGCCACCGCAGACGCCGAGCAACTCGTCACCTACCCTTTATTCAACAACAGCGCCTCCAACACAGCCATGTCCTGGCCCGACTTCTCGCGCCAATTCAGCGCCATGGCCGTATCCGGCATCGCAGACTGGTGCCGCACCTGCAACAGCGGCAGTCTCTTCTGCTGGGGCGCCGAAGCAAAAAAGAGTCTGGACGATATACCTTCGTCCTCTCCTTCCTCCATCCGCGAACTCAAATCCCGGCTTTCCCCCGTCGTAGGCGGCATCATTGGCGCGGTCGTCACGCTCGTTGTTGCTGCGATTGTCTTCGCAATTATCATGGTGGTCGGGGGTGTGAGGGTGCATCGGCCGCGACGCAGCAGCGTCGATGGTAATGGTGATGGTGCTGGTAAAGGGAGGGGATTGGGAGGGTTCAAGGGTGTGGCGAAACTTGCGTCCGATGCCGATTTGAGACTTACGAGTGAGGGTGCCGCGGGTGCGAAAAAGGGGCATGAGAGGATTGGGAGTTGGGAGTTGAAGCAGAAAGATTCTGGGGCGGTGGAGGAGGAGGAGAGTCGGAAGAGTAGTTTTGAGAGGATTGATGGGGTTGTTGCGGGGAGTAGGGTGGAGCCGGTTCAGAGGCTTTGAAGGACGTGTGTGTGTGTGTGTGTGTGTGTATGAGTAGATAATGTGAAAAAGTAAGTGGTGATGTAGGTCATACTGCGATTAGTCTATGGATGTTTGCATTGGTGTGGTGTATATAGTAGGAAAAGGAAGGAAAAAGTACCAGATGTTTATATTGTGATACCGTTATGTAAAGTACGTAGAATTTTACAGCATAGTAGCTATTTTCTGTCTTTGACTCCATTCTATTTCTTTTGAAAAATACACGTCTATTCTTCTCATCTATTGGCCAATATACATGATATACGGACATGTCTCTGGTGTTATCGCGACCGGATCAAACATGACACAAACGGAAACCGATCACCTAATCACCCTTTGTCATGACATCATCACCAGTTCTGAGTAAAAAGTAGATGGATAAAACATTTTGATTGTGCACACATATCTACAAAAACTACTCATGCAGTACATATATATATATACGGCGACAAAGGCATAAGCTACATTCTCTCTCACTCTCTTGTGAACTTCGTATCTGTCAATTGGCACATGAAAACATCGCTGAGGGAGAAAGTCGCTTCCGTAAAAAACGCCAAAAAGAATGCCAAAAAAAAGAACGAGTAAGGAGACAGAGAGAAACAGACTCGGAAACAAAGAGCGAAAAACCACATGACCTCGAGTGCCGAAGCACGAGTTGCTGGGTTTTGAAACCAACTCTGTCCCCAGTCTGTTGACAAGTATTTTGAAAAAGGAAAATTTCACCTCGACATTCCAGCCATTATGTATCCACATTAGAATCGAAAGTGACTAGACTGCATTTCTCTCGCTCGCTCTCAAAACCGGAAATTATGTGAGAAGCTGACCGGCTATACCGATGGCAACTCCGGCAGTCATGAGGTAATCACGGCAAGGTGCCCTCCACGCAGCGTTTCCACTACCGTCAAACGCGGCACAAGCCTCGACAGTCAACTGGGAGCAGCCCAAGCTACTCAAGCTTGAGCAAATGCTCTGTGCAGACGAGAGACCAACGCTCGGAATGGCAGTAATGGTAGCGCCGCCATTGGGAGCGGAAACGGTTACGCCCGGGGCGCCATTGGCAAGAGCACTTGTACAGCTTGCAGCATCGCTTTGGCAGCTTGTATAAGCGGACGAGCAGGCAGCTGCGTTTTGATAAGTCGTCGGTATGTACGGGAAAGGGTAGAATTGGTTCTGTACCGTGCTTCCGTGGTTTGCGCCGTTCGTTTGCTGCACGAAGGGCCCGCCCGTGGTTGTGCTGGCGATCACAAAGGGCACTGACGTAGTTGCAGTGGGGTTGGCTGTTGGGGCGGCGAGAGCTCCGGTGCATGCAGCGCCCTGAGGACAGCATGCTACATGGCCGGCCTGGTCGGCGGAGCACACTGCCGTTCGAGGGCAGCAGAGGCCCGGAGCACCGAGGCGAGCGCAGTCGAAGTAGTTGTTTGCGCATGCGTTGCCCTGTCTCTTGAGGAGTTCGGCTGGTACGTTTGCCGGGGCCGTGGGCATCGAGTCGTATACTTTGTTCTGTAGTCCCTCGACGGCGGGCTCAAAGTCGGCGACAAGATCGGGTGCGGCGAGGGCAGCCAGCGGTGCCAGTAGCAGCGGGGCGAAGGCGGCACGCATTTTCGAGGAGGTGATGTCGTGGGCTGAGCGAGCGTTGTGCGAGAGAAGAGATGCGACTTGCGCCAGTAAAGGCTGCGGTGTGGCAGGAGAACGAGCGATTTATCGATATGGAGATGGCTGGGGAAGCGGACAAGCACACAAGACAAGTTGCGGGCGAGCAGTGGGAATACAGAACAATGGGTGCGCTAAGTGGCACACAATTGACAGTAGCGGGAGAGAGTAGGTGGTGCGGTTTGGCCAAGGTTGATGTGTAGATGGGCGCGCGGCCGGTGCGGCTGTGGTGTCTCTGCCCAGCTTGGATTCGTTGGCACGGTGACGTAAAGCCTGATTGGTTCACCGCTGGATTCGACGGCTCTGGCCCGCAACACGTGCATGGCAACGTCCAAGGCCCTGATGATCTTTTCCTACTTGCGCCCGCCATTACGCTTGCAACTCTGACGAACTTGCCCCGAACTTGTCTTTGTCGTAACCTGCGAGCGACAGCCAAGATGCGCTGCGGATGCGCTGCGCCTGCTTGCAGTAGACCGATTACGCCGCCCACATGTGCACCACCTCATGCGCTGTCAGGCACAAACACCAACGTCCAACATTGCTTCAGATACGAAACACTCTCCGTGAGAATCAATTGTTATTTCTGTCGTCACACTAGTTGATCTATGGACTTCATCCTATATCCGTGCACGTGTGTGTGTGTGTGGAAAGCTACTTTTACCCAGTCAAAGCTTCGCCTAAGGAAACCGACCAGGGTCTTTACCAGAGATTCTGAGTAAGAGCCACTAAGTGTAGCAGACTGAAGAATCCATATCAGAGATGATCTGATAATACTCATCTCAATAGATGGAGATCTTGTAGATGCTATACGCAGTGGAGCTAGATGTGCATGGTAAGCAGTACGTACGTACTGGGGCTTGAGCAGGTTTGCGCGTGATAATCGCGTGAGCCAATCTCTTGCTATCAATCTCCCAGGCATATATAAACGCAAAGTACGCATTTGAACTTTTCGCATCTTATATGTTGAATCGCCCTCTTTTACTTACCGTACAATGATTAGCAGCATTTTTCATATCATCGGCCAATCGGATCTGCATCGAGGCTTACTATTTGGATGGACGGACACTTTGCCAAGATTAGAGTCCTTGAAGAAGGACCCTTTTTCGATATCAACACCCATCCAAACCAGGAACATGTCTACCTCGCATTATACCCAGGACCCCGGCAACCAGACACATCATTCTCGGAAACTATGGAACAGAAACATGATTTCCCTTCCAAGAGGACAATGACACTGAAATCAAGTGCACAAAAGAGTCACAAGGATTGGACTCTGGGCCGCTTAATCATCGGTGACGCTGACAGACATTTTGTCAATTCGCCAACAGTGAAACAGGACATTGCAGAGACACAAAATGGTTGGAATATAGCACAATAACGTAGACCACGTGTCACACTCTCTTCCAGTGCCGTTGGTTGAGAGAGTCTCGTATCGAATTCCAGTATGACCGAGTCAAGGATACGCCAAGCCGGAGCAGAAGAATACCTCTACCTGCATAGGGAAAGCACTCTCGACGCTCTCTCACACAAACATAGATGCCAATCCGCTGTGAAGCCCCGACAGACAAAAGTGGCCAAGTCGAGTTATTTGTGGCAAGCATACGCTGATAGTGAAAGAATAGCCCGGAGCCAAAGTAGTAGCAAGTTGAATGTCAGGACTGTCAGACTGCATCTAGTACGTTCAAGCGTTGGTGAGTAGTGCGGTGCCAAGATCAGCTACAAAGTCGAATACGATAGACGTTGACGTAAATGGGCCTGGGGCATACGGCCTTGGTGGCAAGAGACGATAAAAAAAGATTTGATTTGGCCGAAAGCTAGGATGGAGGCGCCAAGGATACCAAATACGCTCCGATGCTGTTCCTCTGAAGACTCATGCATGAACCAGTCTTGCTCACGTCAGCAGCAGAGACCTCAGGTTCATGGACACGCAAGAGGTTGTGTACTACTTATGCCATGTATGCACAATCGAGCAAAGATCATGGCATCACGTATGTACGAATATTTGTGCTCGGTCTCTCGATCATCAGCATGAGTCTCTGCCACTCGCTCAATGTCATAGGAATTAACTTTTCAGTATCTCACAAAGCATTTAGTCTCACAAGATCAGCCAACTCAACTATGGGGTTTGACGCTCTAGCCACTCTACTGTCCTTCGCTGGCTCCACAACTGTGCACTTGCCATGAGAGCAACCAAAGGTCTTTCCCCATCCGGTACACCGCTGCTTCTACTGGAACTGGATTTTTTCCCCTCGCGCGGCAGTGGTCAAGAGCTGGCCGTATAGGCATGGGAAGCTAGCTACGTAATACTATCGGAGCGATCGAGCATCTTGACAAGAAACGATGTGGTAGCAGCTGCCAGCCACGACAAGGGCCACATGTGCGTCGTCAGCAAGGAAAGTGGTAGAAGGCTAGTTGTAATGGGATGACGAGAGCGTATCAGTGTCAAGCAGTGTGGCACGGGCTGGGGGGGGGGGGGTTATTGCAGTGGCTTCTGCATCCACAATTGAGCGTGGCGTTGTTCTTGTAAGTGTTTCTCTTGGATTGTTTGGGAAAGAGGGGTGTGTTTGTGGACGCTAAGGTGTGAAGTATAGCAGATGGAATCAATCAATCAATGGTGTATATTAGGCTGCGTGATTTGTAGGCGGCAAAGCGGTGTGATTGGGCGAGTCACACTGGGCGATAAAGCTTGGTGTCAGTTGACCGGCAATACTGTGGTGACTCGCTTCATCTCACATCCGTTGTTGCCGTGCCGTGGATCTCTCCGTGGTCGTGCCTCAGCAACAGGACTGAGGAGCAAGAAAAAAAGGCATTTGCAACACTGGCTTGAGGAACGCCTGTTTGGCGTGTGTTACGGTGTATTGGGTGGTCGAAACGGGCGAGGGGCTAGCGCGAGGAAAAAAGTGTTTCCCTAAGGCGCTGGCCGTGTATGGGGTTAAAATTGGATTGATTGCAAGGCTGATGCATGGCGCTGGCGCGGCAGTTGGCGGAGCTTAGGCCCCCGCAGCCGGGTGGGATGCGACAGGCGCAAGAAGATGACCACCAAACAAGCGACGTTTGCGCAAAAGCAGTGGCAGACACGGCAGTGCGACAAAAAGGACACGGCGAGCTGTGAGGAGAGACAGAAGCACGAGTAAGCAGAGGGGGACTGGCTGCATGAGACCTGGCCGACTCCAGCCTCCAGGAAGGTTGGTAATAGGCATTGGGTGGCTGAAGACACAGCTGGCTGGGAGGCGACGGGCCTGCAGGCTGCGTATGCGTAGGTGAGGTTGGCTGGGGTTAGCTGGGGCTCAGGAACCAGGCCCGCCGCCATAACGATTGGCCGGCAAAGCGCC